GTGACAGATAAGTGTTCCCTGAAGTCCTATCGGGTGACATTTCCAGGGACTGAGTGATGGGCAGTAGTGGCGTCATATGGTAGACACAAGAACTTCGTGGTAGCAAGCTCCTTGGAAGTTGGTTACACATGCTTTCTATGGTTGGGAAAATAGAATTTATCTATGTTTGAAACACAGACTGATGGATATAGGATATTAATGTGCCGGCAGGGGCCGGATATCCGTCATTGTCATCAAAATGACAATGAATAACAGGGAGCAGGTGACAGTGGCTGCCTATCAGGTAAGGAGTGCTGTGTGCAACAGCCTGTAGACACTTTGTGGTCCTTACTTTTCTTTAAACATTTTTTATTATTTTATTTATTTGTGCATATGTGTGTGTGTGCGTGTGTGTGTGTGTGTGTGTGTGACTGTGCACATTCACACTCATCCATGTATGCCATGCTGCCCATATGGGGGTCAGAGAACAATTTTCAAGAATTGGTTCTCTCCTTCCACCACGCGGGTCCCAGGACAGACCCGAAGCATCAGGCTTGGAGCAGGCGCCTTACACACGGAGCGCCTCACCTCTGGCCCTCCGACAAGGACTGCTCCACGCACGTGTCCTCTTCTTCTGTTATCTCCTTCTCTGCTCTTTCCTCATGCCACCAGGTGTTGGGACATCACAGGTCTTACTTCAATCCACGATTGTATAGTATTTTCTCAAGAACGACTCTAGACTTCTGGAATGTCAATTCTGAGGAGGTCTTTATGACACTCACAGTCACGTGGAAATATGGCCACATGGCCTTTTGCTCACTAGCAGGACCCCCCCTAATGCTCCGCTCTGTAACAAACCTCTGGGGAGCTAGAAGACACAAAGATTTAACTTCCGGTTTCTGCTACTGGAGAAACTGGCCTCCCATTCCTTCATCTCCGTGGCTAATGCTCTGCCTTCTGTTCTGACTTCCATCAAAACCATCTACAGCAGCCATATTGATTTTTGAATTTGAGGCAGGATCTTATGTGTCTCAGGCTGACTCGAACACATTCTGTAGCTAAGGAGGACCTTGAGCTTCTGGTCCTCTTGCCTCAACCTCCCGAGCATCGGGACCACAAGTGTGAGCCTGGAGTCTGGGAACCCAGGGTTCATACATGCCAGGCCAATACAATCACCTGTGTACACCCACAAACCACCAACAGTGTTTAAAATACTCTAAGTAAGTCTTTAGGGGTTCATTTTCTTTAAGGGTATGGCCAGTAGTTCCTCAATTCTTCTTCAAATACGTTGAAATCTTGGTCTGATTTTACTGAGTTCAGCTCCCTTTGAAGACTCTGAGCAGCCAGTTACATCTAGGAGTGGTTGGATGTGTTGAGTGGGAACACCCTAATTTGAGAAAGAAGGTTCATCTCGCTCTAGCAGAACACTTAGGATCTTCCTGTAGCGCCTGGAACTACATACAGGGCCTAGGCTGCAGATAGGTCTTACGACCTCTTAATCTTCGTTGTGGTTCTCAAACATTATTCTTCGTGTGTGTGTGTGGGGGGGGGGTTGTGCCTATGTTCATGTGTGTGCTTGTATACACAGGTCGGTATCAAGTGTTTTCCTCAATCCTCCTCTGCCTTGTTTCGGAACAAGGTCCTCTCCCTGACCCCAGAGCTCATTGATTAGCCACACTGGCTATCTCGCCTGCCCTAGGGGTCCTCACATATCTACCTCGTCAGCTCTAGGGTTAGAAGTGCAGACTGCTATACCCAGGATTTTTATGTGAGTGGGTTCTGGGAGATCTAAACTCGGGCCTTCATGTTTGTCCCGCAGTCGCTTTAGCAGACAGCCACTTCCCCAGCCCTGACGCGGTCATTTGTTACAGAAATATCTCTTTGTGCTATGGAGCTTGGCGTCTGCCTCAAGCAAATCACCAGACTTTCCGAGCAATCAATTCAAGTTGATGATTTAAGTCAGTTAGTATTAAACAGATGTTTATATTAACTACTGTTTTCTAGAGGCCATGTCCTCAGCATACATTAGTTCATATCATCCGTTATAGAAATCAGAGGGAATAGAAGATGGACAGAGAGGGCCCTCCCCAAGGACACATGCTTGGCAAACGACAGTTTCAACTCAGGTCCGTCGGAGTCTAAATCCTTGCTCTCAGCCACCCCGCTAGAACCTCCCACAGAGAAAACACTGAGCCCCGCTCCACTGCTTTGCGAGCAGGAACCACATTGTTATAAAACAGGTTATTTGGAATCTGCACTTGCCAGTCAATGATTGACAGAGTCCAGCTGATTGCAAGATCCCCAGGCAGGTCAGTGGAGGACAGGCCAAGGTATGATATGGCCCTTGCCTTGAAGTGGAGAGATGACATTAAACTGAATGCTGAACAAAGATGCAATCGTGAATGGACAGAGTTAGGAAATAGTGCAAGAGACGGGAAAAACAACTCAGGTATTTTTCTGTGCATCAGACTCAGCTCCAAGCACTTTAAACGTATTTCCCATTACATAGAAATATATAACATGAAATTTACCGAGTTAAAATGTACAGTTCAATGAACTAAATGTTGTGCAACCATGACCACTATTCCTCTATAAAAGTCGCTTGAAGCAGGGCAGTGGTGGCACACGCCTGTAATTCCAGCACTCGGGAGACAGAGGCAGGGCAGATCTCTGTGAGTTCAAGGCCAGCCTGGTCTACAAGAGCTAGTTCCAGAACAGGCTCTAAAGCTACAGAGAAACCCTGTCTCAAAAAAAAACCCAATAAATAAATAAATAAATAAATAAATGCCGCTTGATTCAGTTTAGTTAAGTTTCATTTAGTTTGGTTTGGTTTAGTTTGAGATAAGTTCTCCCCATGGCCTAGAAGTCACTCTGTAGTCTAGGGTGACCTCACATTTACAATGCCGCCTCAGCCCTTCTGGGTGCTGAAAATACAGGCCTGGGCCACAGCACCTGAAAGTCAACCCACCCTGAATCCCTGTTTTCACTGAACTGCGATGCCTAGTGTCCCGTTTCTTAAATTCTGCGGTGACTATGCTGTTACACTTTCTGTCTCTATGCATTTGACTGCTCTAGACACCTGAGTAGAATATGTCCTCCTCCCGTGTCATTTATTATGTTTCTAAGGTTCGTCTATAGGGTATAGCATGTGTCAGAATTTCATCCTTTTTACAAGGATGAAGTTTATTGTTTCTATTGAGCTGTATTATTTTCTCCACTCCCCACCCATCTTCTCCCCTCCCCTTCTACCCTTTCCCACGATCCTCATGCTCCCAATTTACTCAGGAGATTTTGTCTCTTTCTACTTCCCATGTAGATTAGATTCATGTATGTCTCTGTTAGGGTCCTCTTTGTTGTCTATGCTTTTTGGAGTTGTGAATTTATGAGTGAGTACATAATATATTTGTCTTTCTGGGTCTGGATTACTTTTCTAGATATTTTCATTTGCTTGCAAATTTCAAGATGACATTATATTTTTTTCTGCTGTGTAGTACTCTATTGTGTAAATGTACCACATTTTCCTTATATCTTCTTTGGTTGAGGGGAATTTATGTTGTTTCCAGGTTCTGGCTATGAAAAACAATGTTGTTATGAACATAGCTGAGTGCATGTCCTTGGGGTATGATTGAGCATCCTTTGGGTATATACCCAAAAGTGGTATTACTGGGTCTTGAGGTAGGTTGTTTCCTAATTTTCTGAGAAATCGCCACACTGACTTCCAAAGGGGCTGTACCAGTTTGCATTCCCACAAGCAATGCAGGAGTGTGTTCCCTTTACCCCACAACCTCTCCAGCATAAGTTGTCATCAGTGTTTTTGATCTTGGCTGTTCTTACAGGTGTAAGATGGAATCTCAGAGTTGTTTTGATTTGCATTCATCTGACGGCTAAGGACGTTGAGCATTTCCTTTAGTGTCTTTCAGCCATTTTAGACTTGTCTGTTGAGTGTGCTCTGTTTCCAATAAAAAAAAAAATGGGGAACCCCCTTTGTTTAAGAAGGTGGGCTGTGAGTGTGAGCCAGCTGCGGAGACCTGACCTGCAAGATGGAGCTCATCAATGGATGGACAGCTAGCCATATGTCATATCCATCCAGCTTTTGTTTCTTCATTCATGGGCATTCGGGTTACTTCAGTCACTTGGATAAGAATTAGCTGGAGATGGAGATGGCTGGCTAGGTAGGAACACTGACTACCCTTGCAGAGGAGCAAGGCTCAATTCCCAGCCCCAGCACCCACATTGCAGCTCACAACCATCAGGAACTCCAGTTCCAAAATATCTGAAGCCCTCTCCACAGACACCAGATACACAACTGACTTATAGAAAGACATTTTTATTCTAATACACACTAGTAAAAATGCAGATTTTTTAAAAAAAAGAACCTGTGAGGTTACTATCATTGCCATTTTTAAAACCTAAAGCTAAGATAGATTAAAGCACCCGTCTTCTACTAGTATAGACTTAATAATTCTGTTATCCCTTTATTTTTAAGTGAGAACTTTGAAAAACTAGATGCATTATGCTACAGGAATGTGAAAATGCTTACGGGTTGGACTGGGGTCAGGATCTCTTTGTAGAAGCTATGGCTCTCACTTTGCATCTTAGGGGCAGGAGGATTTAAAGACGGTGGGCTTTGAGACCCTTGATGTGAGAGGGAGCGTGCAGATGAGATCTGTTGGAGGCAAATGATTATGTAAGGGCCGGTAGGACCAGCCTTTCCCACAAGACGGGTCATGTGCCAAGCAAAACACCTACTTCAAAACGACTATAGACAAACAACTCTGAGCACTTCCCACAGCCTGCTCGGCAGGAAACAGCCCTAGAGACGGGATGGAGAGTTTCCCGGCCCGAAATCCGTGTGAGCACTTCACTTTTTAATCAAATGGAACAACAAGGGCTTGAAAAAGCCAGCTATCTAAAGAAACATGCCATTTCTTTTCAGGCCAGATGAGTTACCAGTGGCCCGTTTCCTCACTTCACCTTTCCCTGAATCATTGATCGGTACCAGAAAAAAAACGCAACCCACATTTTCATGGCTCCACCTCCCAGTGTGATTCTATTGAGGTCTGAGGAGGTAAGGGCAAGAATGGTTGTGAATTTGCCCACGCAAATTACATGCAGATGACAACACAGGGAGTCTACAGGGTCTGAGGTCCATGAAAGCAAGACCTTTCTCTTCTTTTAAATCTCAAGGCCTGGAAGTCTGGCACAGAGTAATTGGTCTCCAGGATGGCATGGAACTAGAAGGCAGGGACTGCTGGGATTGAATTTAAAATAGCTCCTTTATTTGAGCGTTGTCCCTCTAGTTGTCTGACAAGCAGCATGTTTTTAAAATAAAGATAAAGGACATTTGCCTTTTGTTTTCCAACCCAGGAATCTTCAGTTTAGAGGCTTTTTGCATGGAAGGGTTACCTACCCCTCCTAATGAGAAACCCAATCCAGCACAGCCAGTGCTGTGTACTGTGTTCCTGACTTTCAGCCTACTAAAGGAAGAACTCTAGGGTAACTACACCAAGGAGACGAATGACTGACCATTGGATAAACTCAGCAAAGTTGGGCAATACACTGCCGAAGCTGTTCTTAGCCCGGTAGAGCGTTTCTGATGGGGATCATGAAGAGCTCTGAAGGTGGACAGTGGCTACACGATTGCAGAAGAATATGCACGAACTCGCTGTCACTGAACTGTGCATGTAAAAATTGTTAAAAAAAAAAAAAGGTAACTTTTATATGTTACTGTGGTAACACAAAATGCTATGGGATGCTCGTCGTAGCTTTATGTATTTTCCAAATTATGTGGGTTCAAAACAAGGACCCCAAGTAAACAGCTTGAGTTTCTAAGCTTTCTCAGGACGTGTTATTTATGAGATGATTGCCAGCTTGTGGCATGACTCGGCATAAGTGAGCCATGGGAACCCAGAGGTGGAGCAAAGCACGGGAGCACATTTTAATTTTCTGTCACACTCTCCTCTATCCCGTCAACCTCTCTCTCAGATCTGATTGGGAAACACTGGACTGAGTGTGTGTGCACTGCAAACGTGGAAGCTGCAATAACAGGTAGGGCAGTTGCAGTCGCTGTAGTATGACCAAGATGGGCAGAGGACATAAGGAAACGGAGCACAAACAGATCCTGGATGTAGAAGGCAGGAGAGACAGAAAGGCTGGAGGAATGAGTTCTGATGGCCTACTGCACAGTAGCATATGCTTACAGTAATTCTCTACTTTATAAAGAACTAGGAGTTTGATGACTGACACTTTTGTTGAACCGTGTAGCAGCCAGAGTTAACAATACACCTTGAGGTCACTTAAGACTTAAGACCTTGAGAGCTGGTTTGGAGGTTCTAGCAGGGGAGCACTGCGACTCGTATACTATTGACAGAAGACTGGTCCTCCTCTATTCCAGGAAGGTTGTCCTCCTCTGTTCCGGGAGGCAGGAAGGGGAGCAGAGAAAAATGTGGAGCTCAACAGATACCAATTTAAAAGAATCATTCAAACAGCTCTTGTTGTCCTGCTGTGTACCCAGCCTGATGTCTCTGACGCCACTTTTAAGAGAGCAGTACAACTATCAGTCTTCCGTGCCTTGGATTTCCCGTCTCATCAACTTCTGTAATCTAAGCTAATGCATAGATATAATCTGAAATTGTGGACTCGTTTCCAAGCCCCTGACCAGACAACGTGAATGTATCCTTTCTGGAAAGCAGAAAATCCAGAGGTTGAAAGCAATCTTTTAAAATGAATATCCACCCTAAATGTTGAATGAAGCATTTAGGTATGGGTGGAGAAGCAATGCTATTTGTAGGGGTATTTTGTTGTTGTTGTTTATTTTGTTCTTGGCCTGGGTCAGGTGGGGTCAATTGAAGTCCCTGAGTTAATTCCTTGTCTCTGTTAAAGATCTCTGCAAAGTATCCCATTCCTTCCCCTTGTGAGACCTTCTGTGCAGTGCAATAAATGAGAGAGAGGAAGCTCTTCCTTAGGAGGTCAGAAGACACGGGGAACATGAAGTAGAGACTTCAAATCCAGACTCACTCTTGGTCAAGTGACTTGCAACAGGGAAATGCTTTAATTTCTTTCTCTAATTCAAGACCAATACATGATTACTGATCCGAAGTTAATCACTAACATGTTCATCCACACCTTCTTCCATGGTAGGTTAGAGACATCAAAGCCCTCAGTTCCTCCCCAGAACTTTTTTTCTTACTTCAATACAAAGAATCTGTCTAGCTCAAACTCATTTCCTAAAAATATTCTAGAGCCTGAAGAAAGGACTGTCTATGACTAACTGGTGTAGGGTGTGTAATGCCTTTCTCTTGTATGGGAAAGCAGGAAAGTCACGAGGCTAGCGCAAAACATTTATCAGGACACTCTTGTAAAAAGGGAGAAAGCCCACTTGGTTGGAAGGTAGGCTGGTTTCTGGGTTAGAACTTTGTCACTGACAGCATCCTGATGTAGAAGCAGGGAAGGCCATATAGGAAGATCATAGACAACATAAAGCAGTGATAATATAGTCTAGATCTTTGGATTTTTTCATTATAAATGTTGAATAAATCCGTTCACATTTCAAAGTTCATTGTCAAAGAGCTGTTGAGAACACTGGGACTAACCCCATCTTATGAGGGTCATGACTAGAACCACTGGGAAAGCTAGAGACTTCTTTGTATAGATTTCAGAGTTTCCATCAGAAGACAGCAAGGTTGAGGGATATGGTGAGTGCTGATTTAGGCAGTGAGGCAAGCTCTGCCCTTTGTACTTGCAGCACCCAGCACCGTTGTTTCTCTTATCGCTCCATGGGGCAAAGTCCACAGCTTTACTTCATCAAAATCTCCCTTTACCATCAATACATTAAAACAAACATATGTACAAACACAAGAGCTACAAAGAGAAGAGGAGGAGGAGGAGGAAGAGGAAGGAGGAAGAGGAGGAGAAGGAGGAGGAGGAGAAGGAGGAGGAGAAGAAGAAGAAGAAGAAGAAGAAGAAGAAGAAGAAGAACAACAACAACAACAACAACAAGGAGAAGAAGAGGAAGAGGAAGAGGAGGAAGAAGAAAAGGAGAAGGAGGGAGAGGAGGAGGAAAAGGAAGGAGAAATCTAGCAGCCCTAAAAAGAAAGCTATACCTACAGTTACAATAAAGACTTTAATATCCTTCTAAAAATTTAGTAGAAAGCAGGGCACAGTGTCACTACCCTTAATTCCAATACTTGGGAGGGGAAAGCAGTTTGATCTCTGTGGTTTCTAAGCCAGCCTGGTCCACATAGCAAGTTCAAGTTCAGCTAGGGTTTTAAGGTGAGTTTAAAAAAAACAAAAACAAAACAAGCAGACAAGCAACAACAAATGAATAGAGGGATGACAGTATGGCTCAGTGGGTAAAGTCACTTGCCACCCAGTCTAGTGACCTGGATTCAGTGCCCTAGGCCCACATGGTGGAGGCAGAAGCCATCTCCCCCAAACTCTCCTTTTACCTGCACTCATGCACCATGGTGCAAACGCATGCACACAGACATGCACATATGAGTAAATGTAATTTTTTAAATTTTTGTTTTAATAGAATAACTAGGCAGAAAATCAACATGGATTAGAAGAACTCAGAACTATCAGCCAGAAAGACCTAAGAGCAGTTATAAAACATTATATTCAGAAATTTCAGGACATAGTCTGTTCATGAACCCCTGGGGCATATTCCAAATTATCCCGGGTCATAAGAGAAATCCTAACAAATTTGAGAGAATCGAAATCATGTAAGTATGTTCTGCAGCAACAATCAAACTAGAATTAAAAACAAAGGTAAGAAAACCTTTCGAAGCATGGTGGTTCACACCTAGAATCTCAGCACTGGGAAGACTGAGTCGGGAAGAATGCAAGTTTGAGGCCAGACTGGGAAACAGCTTGAATTCCAAGGTAAGCCAGACTTGGAGAGCTCTTGAGATCGTGTTGCTTAGGAAGCTGTGCGGTGGGTTTTCTGTTCCCACACTCCCGCGCGCGCGCTCTCACGTTCTCTCGCTTCTCTTGCTTCTCGTGCAGACAGCCCTGGCCCTGTCCAGACTGTTTCTATTTCTTTCTGCTTTGGACTTTTCCAGATACTCATGGATATTTTCTTTCTCTTATCCAAAATGAAAACCTTCCACCAATAGACGAGTCACGTTGGCAGTTTCTATGATGAGCCCCTTGCCGAAACCCAGGGGGAGCATAAATGGCCCCCTTTTTAAGGAACTCGGCCTCTCCTAACCAAACCAGGCTGCTGGATTTGACTTTAATAAAGTATGGATCATTTCTTTCTGCTGGTTTCTGCCACCCGCCACATTCACTCCAAATTCTAGAGTCCACCTCTCCAGGAATTTCTCCACCTGCACTAACAACTCATCTCTCCTATCTTCTCTGGTGTCTTTCTCGGCTCCTGAAGCCTACCACAAAGTCGCACCGGTTCACCAGGCAGCCTTCACATAGCCTTCTGGGCACCCCATCATATGGAGGAGGGACACCTCTTTATTGATCCTGGCCATCTCTCTGACAAGTCTCTTGTTCCACTTGAGGACACCCCAGATTGAAGCTCCTGTCATCACGGCACTAGCCCCTCGAAGTCTCTCCCATTTCCTGCTTGCTCTGCTACGAGCTCCCACCCTACCTGTCTCTCAGCTCCCTCCTGGAGTTTACTCTGTCTTTAACCATGACTAACACTGGTGTCTCCTCACCTCTCCTTGGGAGCTGTCTGCTCCATCCCTGTTCTTGTTGGCTCACTAGCGCCTGCTACCTCTGTCTCAGCTCCCGGAGCCTACTCTATGTCAGGCAGGTGCATCAGGCAGCTGTGCTGAGCCCTCCTGGGCCTCGATGATATTGGGATCCTCCCTCTGACAGAGTCCCTAAGCCTCTCCCATCTCTTTTTCACTGTGCTTCTGATGGATGTCCCCTTTCCTGCTTTTCCTTCAGCTTGCTCCCTGAGTTTGCTTTGTCTCTAACCATAATGTCTTCCTCTTCAGAATTAGACTCAACTCCTCACCTGACGTCTCGATCTCTTTCCTCTTCAGCCTCAAAGATTTCAGCAAAATCTCACTATCTTACTGAAAATGGCTTGACCTCAGTACAAACTAGATAATCCGTCTCAACGGCCTCGAAACTGGCACATTTGATTTCCAAAACCTCACAGATTGTCACAACTTCTGCTGTCACACAAGCAAATAATCTGAAAATTCCTTTGTCTTTAAGCTTTATTTGCCCTTAATTCTCAAAAATCTCTTATTTCTAAGCCCTTTTGTTCTTTGTTCTCTTCTCTCCCTGATCACTGGATTCAATCCTACAGAGATTCAAATGTTTTGGGGTATGGATAATATTGAAAAATTGTTTCATTCTGTTCTGCTCTACTAAAAAGTTGGCTGCAAGCTGAGTCATGGCCTGCTCATTCCAGACCCAAGCTTGGATACTTAAACGTTTCCTCTAACATCCCTGTCCTGGTCAGGCTGGCCTCCTGACTTTGAGAGAGAGGAGAACAAACAGAGCAGGCCAGGAAACAACAGTGCGTTTACAAACAACTAAAAGGCAGGCTATTCCCAGTGGGGATTGTTGCTGCTCGTCTCATGCTCCTCCTCCTCTTGATTTCGTTTACTGTCTTTAAAAACACAAGTGTAATTACGGACTTTTTACTCTATGACTACATCCCCTTACACCTCTAAAAACGTCTGTTAAAGTGCAGACTTCCTTTATCTCAGGATTTGTAAATTCATTGGGCGTGGTCTGAAAGATCTGTAAATGCTGTATCCAAAGTTACCCTAAAACCTGTATCAGAAAGAGCTGATAATACATATAATATATTACACTGTTTATATATATCATAGACATCATCATTTGCTACAGTGTGTTTCTATGTAACTTGGACTCAGCTTTGTTTGAGAAAATAGTTTTTTCTTTTTTAAAGGGTGTGTGTCTAGTGAGCTCACCTTGGAGTAAATCACAACCATGTAGTTTGCAACCGTCTTCACTAAGGGTAAAGAAAGGACATGCCTTGTGACTTCACCGCCATCTTGGTTAAAGTGGCCACTTATCATAAAAATTTCTTAGTCCTACTGAGCCCTCTGCTTACCAATGTGTCTCCTTCTTTAGACTAAGAAGGGCAGCACCAGACTTTCAAGATGGTTTGCTTTATTTTATTTCCCCTACATTAAGGAAACAATAGCAGACTTCCAAGATATTTTGGTTTAGCATAAATTTTTCTTTAGCATGATTCTTGTCCTAAGAATGAAAAATTCCAGATGAGGACAAAGCCATGAACGAGGTTTATGGAAAAAAGGACTTAAAAACAACATACGCTTGATGATGAGGTTTATACATTCCTAAAGTTACAAAAGATATTGTTTGCATAAGGAACAGCATATGCTTGATGAATGAAGTTTATGAATTCCTAAGTTCTATTCTGTATGACTTAAAGTTGATATCCAGACACGGTAACTTTATTAGGCTTCAGCTATTTGGATAAACTCAATCATACAAGAAACTGTGATGTTTTGTAAATCAGGAAAATAAGGTTCCCAGGGGGCTGGAGAGATGGCTCAGCGGTTAAGAGCATTGCCTGCTCTTCCAAAGGTCCTGAGTTCAATTCCCAGCAACCACATGGTGGCTCACAACCATCTGTAATGAGGTCTGGTGCCCTCTTCTGGCCTTCAGGCATATACACAGACAGAATATTGTATACATAATAAATAAATAAATAAATATTTTTTAAAAAAAAAGAAAAAGAAAATAAGGTTCCCAGTCTTTCTATGGACTGTATTTATGGTTTAAAGTTTTATTTTAATGCTAAATAATTTTCAATTGAATCTTCAATTAAAATTTTTAGGACTCAAACTTAACAGGGATAAAACTTTAAAATCCTAATTTTACAAAAGCTACTAACTTGTCATGAACTGTTAACGATAATTAAGGCATGTGAGTTAATAGCCAGGCACCTCATAAACGACCAAATTCTTTAACATACGCAGAACTGTTCCTAGTCATGAAACTCATTGACAGGGACAGCTTTAGCCTTCTATATACGTTGGCAAGGTTTAAGCCTAAAACAGATAACTTAAGGCAAGTAAATAAAGTTTGCTTAAAATCAGGTATATTTAATAGCTTAGATAATGACCCTCAACCCCCGCCCCCCAGAGGAAGAGCTGTGAATATGATATTTAAGGTGTTTAATGAAAAGGCTTCCCACAGTAGACAGTAAAGCCAACTCCTGGCCACAGCCCTAAGGTCTCCTCCAAAGAAGATGGGGAAATGAGCTTCACTTGGAACTTGCTTCGGATGTGACCACAGTGGTCACTAGGCAAAGAGCTGTCCTTCCTTGACCTTGCCTGCAGCCAGAACCCTACCAACTGTGGTCAATCAGGGCACTGAACGATCAACTGCCTCTCCAAGGAAAGTTGGTTCTCCAAGTCTCTCTTCCACAGAAAAATGTCTCAAATCTTCTGAGTCTGGTAGCCAAAGGTTGATGCTGACCTGTGCGGCAGCCCAAAACTTAATGCTGTTTTGTGTGGAGACCAAAGGTTGACAACCTCTGCCCCCAACAAAGCCGTCAAGATCACCATGGAGAAGGCTGGCTGCCCAAGTAGTGGGTAAGTCTCTGTCATTCTTAATTATTCTGGAGTCCATTTGGTCTACACTTCCACTCAAATTCGCCCTTCTCAGCTCTCTGGGATGGCATTGATGATGAGTCCCAGTTTTACCAGATAGCCGAGCGACAACATCTAGCCAACCTCAACCAGCTCCTCCCCCAAAGCTGCAGCTGCACAGTCAGCCCGTTCATTGCTAGAAAGCCTGCTTTCACCTTCAAAGAAGTCTGATTTTTTTTTTTAAGCAACTTTGGGTGCAAACGATGTACACATTGTTTGTTGATGATACAAATTTGAAAACTTGAAAACAAAAATGTAAACTCACAGACAGACTTCACACCAAGAAAGGCTCACTCACAAAATAGGCTTCAGCGTAAAAAAGGAAAAATCGCCTTTTACTGTTCTTTTACTCAAAGAACTTGCTTTTCGGTGGCTGCTTTCAGTAATTAACGACCCAGGTTATCGTAGTAAACGAGTGGATGTTTCCAGATAAAAGGAAGAGAAGTTTAAAGTTAATGTAAGCCGCGAAGACCCGCGGAAGCGATCTGAGGTGTGTGAACTCAAGTTGTGAAGGTCTAAAGAAGTGGGTTTATGATATGGGAAAAAAAAAAGAGTCTTAAAGATGATGCATATGATGTTAAGATTTCCAAGTCCAGAGTTCAATATTGAGCAGTGGAGTTCTGAGTTGTTAATCTGGTCTTGGTAATAAAGACAATGGCTACTGAACCTTTTTGAAAACTATCATAGACTCGGACTCAAAATCTTAAATTTCCTTTGGTTGTTTTCTAATGTAGACTTAAAAGTGCTTCTCACTGTGCTGAAAACACCTCTGTCCTGTCTATACATCTAGACCTCTATGTTAAGGGGGAAAAATTTTATAAATTATCCCCAAACCACCTTTGGGTCCACAAGCTCCTCTTCCCTGTCAAAAATTTTCTGTCTTATTATAAACAAATGTCTATCCTTCGACTATGCCGCTAACTTACCAGACTTTATTTTTACTATGGCTCAAAGGTGTGTGTCTACTCCGGTATTTACAAACGCCAGTTAACTGCCTTTTCTACAAGGAAAATTTCAGTGCAGAGTACAGACTGTGGTCACGCTAATACCTTCTGGCCTCAGTTTCTATGAGTCTGTCCCTGCAGCAGATTTCTGCTCAGTTGACAGGAATTCCTATGCAGGAATCAACTGCAACCTACAAACAGCTTCAAAGCGCCTGCACCTTGTGAGCCCCAGGTAGTCCTGCAGAACCAGCAAGCCCTGAACTTGAGGAACCAGACCAGCCAAGCAAAGATTGCAAACTACAGCGGCCAGGGACCAACTCCAATTCTCTATCCTTTGGTCTCCCTTGAGCCTCTAGCTCTCCCATCTCCTCAACCCACTGATCTCTATCCTTATGATAATGTGATTGATCCCTGTCTCTTCAGGCTCTCTCAGGTGAAATTCCCTGACCTATGATCAGTTAACAAGATACTTCTGACAGATGTCCTGGGGTCTCCTACCTGGGGTCGCGCCTGCTGGCTTGAGCCCCTGCCTCAGACCAGCATTCCAGACTCCCATTTTTCTCCAGCCCCCAATAAGCAGGAAGTAGCAACAGAAGAGAGAGAGAGACTAAGTCATCCTTTATCACCAACAAAAGGCTAGAATGTTAGGTCTCAGGAGTAGGCACATCTAGAAACGGGCTCAAGCTGGACTCTAGGAGGATTTCTGGCGGTTAGATAAAAGTCAGCTTTTCTCAGGAACTTGTGAAACAGGTTTTCCATTCCTCCCCCCCTCAGCTCTTTGTCTTCCTTATAATCTACATGGTTTGCCTACCCCACGCTCTCTCTGACCTCTCTTGCCTTTCAAACAGCCCAGGCCATGTTCGATCTGTTTCTTTTTCTGTCTGCCTTAGACTCTTCCAGACGCATCTAGATGTTTTCTCTCTCTTACCCACAGTAAAAACCTTTCATCTAATGGAGTGGTCATGTTGGTAGTTCCACCCCCAGTAGGGTCCCTAAACCTCCCAAGAACTACAAACTTTTGTCAATCCCATTGGTGAACTCTTCAGAACTTGACATTAAGACCCTACTCGTGAAGATGTCCCAGAACATGAAGAAACCAAGCTGGTACTCAGCCAGGAACTTCATTCCTGAGCTTGCTCCTATATATATACTTTTTGGTTCAGAAATCTCTAAAGATGAAGCATGCAATGTTCTTTCTGTTCTTGCTTCTTCTGGGATGACCTCAGGAAGTTGAGTGGTAAAAGAATGCAGCCCCACAGTGAAGCAAGAGTCTGGCAGAGTTAATCAAACAGAGCCACCCTCCTGTTAACCTCTGCCCCGGTTTCAGAATGTCTTTCACCTTTCCCCTCGTTGTTATGATTCTTTGAAACAATCTGGTGTTGGTGGTAGTGATGAGGGCAGAAGATGGAGAGTTGTCAGGGAGCATTTGTTCCTGTGCAAAGTCCAGCTTTTCTCCCAATCACAGGTTGGGCCGAATGAGATCAGCAGACAAGGGCTCTCAATGAGGAGAGGGGAAGCGATTTCCCGGGACAAAGGGCAGGGGAGTAGAGGTGAATAAGTTGATCTTCTCTGGAAATTATGCTCCTTCGCCCTCCCTTTCCATGTAACCTTGGGGTTATAGTTGTGCTAATTATTAAGGGAAGACAATATAATGCTGAACAAAGGTTAGAATTCAGTTATCTTATAACTATATAATATTAGCTTATATGTAGAAAGTTTTATAATATATATGTTTAAGATTTATTTCATGTATGTGTTTGTATGTGTATGTACCTGTGTGCACAGGTGGCTGTGGAGACCAGAAGGGACCCCAGAAGCAGACATCAGGATCCCCTGGTTCTGAAGTTCTAGGTAGTTGCGAGCCACCTGATATGAGTTTTGAGAACAATATTTCAATCCTCTGCAAGAGCAGCAAACACTTTCAACCCCTGAGGTATGTCTGTCAATCCCGCCGACTGAGAGTAAGACCACTACCACAGTTAAAATTAAATTTAAAGACAAATTCGAAGTAAGCTTTACTTAAATACTGGCCAGGTGAATGGGCTCTGGCCAGGTCCATACCCAGGTACCTGGGAAATGGCCCAGAGCCAGTTTGTAGCGACTTAAGAAGGAAAACCATAACCCATCAGGTCCAATCAGGGGCAAGCATACATCCTGACGTACCTCCAGCCTCTGAACCTCCCGCCCACATGTGGTCAAGCACACAGGTGCAGTTGGGTCAAACAAACTTATTTAGGGGAATGACAAACATATGTACCTCCCATAAACGATAGCCTCCAGCATTTCAAAAACTATCTGTCCTTGGGCAATGGGTTTGCAGATCAGAGGTATTTTTGTTTTATTGGTCTCTTAGGCGTATTAATTAAAACTTAAAATGTAACTTTGATTCTCACAGTCTTCAACCCAAAAGTTTTACAATATATGTGTGCATATTGAAAATTTTACGTGTGTGTGTGGGTGTGTGCGTGCACGCGCACGCGCTTATTGCTTGAATGGAACCTCCAGTTTGCCCCTGCATGGTCTGGAAAGCCCCATTCCTGTCTCTCTCTCCAAACCCCACCCACTCCGAGAGTCTCCGAACAAATGTAAGGCACTAAAAAGCCCAGTTCCGAATTCTTGGTGGCTACTAAAACTTCCTACCGTGAAGTTGTCAGCTGTCCCAGCCCCCACCTAAAGTGCTTAGCCCTTGACCACACTTGGGCTTGTGATGATGCATCATCACCTCTCACCTACAACCTATATAATCCCCCTGCTTTCGTCTGGGCGTGTAGTCTCCAGCCTCCATCTCTGGGACTGGAAAGCCAACTCAGGAGTTGCTTTGCTCAAATAAAACTATTATGCTTTTCCAGTTTAGCTTGACCCAGCTTACGGCATCAGTGGAGAAACCTATTATGGAAAGAGGAGGGCAGAAACCCTATTACTTCTATGTGTATATCTGTATATTTAAATGGTTCCTGAGACATGCTTGAGAAGCTGTTTATTATTCCCTCAATAGTAAGAAGATACAATTAAAAGCTTCTGGTTGCTGCCAGATATCAAGATCAGAGTCTCTCCAGCCAAATGGGCTTTGGCCACACAGCAGGTGTCCTTCCTTCAGGTTCATTATATAAAGATGCTTGCACTACAGACTATGAAATAAACACGTGTTAACCTTTGTTCTCCGTTGTAGGTGTTGGAACAGGACAAGGAATTTGTCATCAGTGCCTGGCCTCCTGTCCTAAGTTTGGCTCTGGAAGCAGGAAGCTGGCTAGCAGAGGTGGATTTAGAAGACCAGGAGGGCTGAATTCTCACCTCCTTCAGATAATCTTGAGAAGCCTTGGATCCACTGCAGTACCTTTGGCTGAGAGTGACAGCCTAGTGTGAAATAACAGAGATAATCCCGTGGGTTCCCAGCAGATCTAGGTTTGAATTCAAGTTTCGTCACTTAAGAAAATGACGAGCCCCCATCTGTGGGTCTCTGACTCTCTCTAGCAGATTCTCCAGTAGTTTCCCGTAGAATGGCAGGTACCATTCACAGTACCCGAAGGAGTCTACAGTTCTCAGGCTGCCAGACTCTGGGACATCAGAGGGCCTCATGAGGCTGAGCTCCTCTCAGAGCCCGGGCTGCATACTCCTGTCCATCTGTCTGGCATGGCATTGCTAACTCTTCTAATAACTCTCTTGCCCAGAAGGACAGCTTTCCTCCTTGCACCCCAAACCAGAACCCTTTCTGGACACCTTCACAGACATACTCACAGGTGTGTTTCTATGATGATTCTAAATTCAGTCAAGAAGAAAATTGAGATTTTTTTTTCCACTGTCACACAAGGGTTGCCTTTTCGGGGAGATACCTTTAATTTTGACCTTTTTCATTGTGCTTTCCTTAAATGCTTAAATATTTCTTAAAACCACTGTTACACTGCAAACCATTGTGTTTACAAGGCTGGAAGGTTCGTGCCTCCATTCCACAAAAGATAGAACATCCCAGTACAGACATTGTGCCAAAGAAGAATAGGTTGCCTATCACAGCAGGGAACCCTTAAGTGGGAACTGAGTATATTAGGGGACCAGGCTACAAGGATCTCCACCTCACTCCTTGGCCAGTACGTTAACTTTAAAACTCCAGTTTCATTTGAATGATGTTAGTTTGGTTTTAGGACTGCCTGGTTTTAGGACTGCCTGAAGGCGGTCAGCCTAATCTGTCCTGCTTCTCAACCTCACCGGTTGGCTGTCCTTTGTCACCAGAGGGAATCCATGGTAGTTCTGAGCACCAGGGTGGAAACGGCATCTGGAGGTGTTGGCAGGTGTTCAGTCTGGGAGGCGCTGGAACTCCAACCTCTGCTCTTTCTGACCGAGTTCCTAGTAGGGTCAAGGGACAAGGCAGACAGGTCTGTCGGAGTCATTTGACAAAGGGTTGTAGACCCAGCGGTTAGACTATCGGCTAGGGGCTATCTCAGCGGGGGCATTTTCCTTCAGAAAAAAAGACAATATTGTAACCCTCTCTCTCTAGGGCTGAGGTTGTGTTGGGGGTAAACAAAGTGCCTGTCCTTCCTCTGACTCTCGCACACAAGAATCCTCACAGAAGGCTTCTGACACAAGGTTTTCCCACACACCAAAGAGCTGCTCTTACGCGGGTGCCAGCTGGGTGTCCTCTAATCCAGTTGCTCTCTAACTGTCTACTTCAGGATCCCAGCAAGCCTCATAGCTTGAGGACGTAGTGCCCAAGCCTGCTTTCCTCTCACCTCCCAGATGCCAGTTTCAAGTCCCACATTGTTTTCTCTGGGCCTCTGGTCCACTGGCTATGGTTCGGATTTCCACAGCTCCTCCTCACGTTCGATTAGCTTGCCCAGGACTCAGGGCAGCACTGACATTATTGTTCCGCTAATGAATGTGGAGGAATGAAGAGGAACAGATGTAGAGGGAAGACACTGGGTGGAAAATGGAACTTTCATGTATTTTCTGACGTCATCGTTTCTAGAAACCTCCATGGGATGTGCTCACCTATATGGAAACTTACTGAACCCGGTTCTTTTTGGATTGTGGTGGAGCTTCTATTACATAGGTGTGATTGCCAGTGGATTACAGGGAAACCTAGCTATCAAGACTCATCTGATTGAGCATTCTTCATGATTCTATGTATGTGTGTAGCGTTCTTCTCTCTGGGGTCTGGGCAAGGTCCTTGGAGTTTTATCACCTACTCCCTAGCAGAGGTAAATTCAAGAATGAGAGGGTCTTTACGGGTAGTGCCAACACAGAGAGGCGGGGAAAGATTACGATATACTTTTTTATTGTTTTTTTATTAGTTTCTGAGTCACCTGGAGGAAGTGAAATTCTAGTCTATACAATCTACCGTGGAAAGAAAGTTATGAACCAGGAACCATGGACAAAAGCCAGGAAACATGAGTATCACAAAGGCGCCTTCACCCTGGCTGCTCTGGGTGGCGCTTACCACCCCTCTACTGCTCAGCATTCTTTATGTCTGTGTCCAGGACTGCAACCACCCTCTAACCATGCCAAGACTTTTTATTCTGAAGGTCAGATGTTTTCATAAAAGTGTTGGAGATCTGTGACGGTCTCCGTATTGGCCTGTGTGGGCCTCAGGAAGATGCTTTTGGTGCCTGTGTTCTTGACCCAGTGGTAATTATCCTTATGATCAAGGACAAAGGGAATCTAACTCGAGAATCCAGGTGGCTGAGCTAGAGTTCAGTTTTAATTTCCTAGGCTGCTTGTCTTGACTGGGCTATCAACATCTGGTGTATCCACAGGCCGGCGTAGAATTGCTATCAAAGGAAGGAAGCCTCCCTGTGCCTAGGAGTGGTCAGAGAGAAACCTCCTTTCAAGTATATACAACCTCTCACCTCTTTTGTGGCAGTTTTTATCCAGAAAGTAGTCACGAGCAAGAGGTGATCTTTCAGGGATTGCTGTGGAGACAAGGAGTGAGAAAGCATCTTGAACAAAGAATTGAGGCAGCCATTCCATTGTTCATCATTCAGTGCCTGTGGATAGAGGCCTTTGTGTCTGCTTGGAGATAGGATCTCACACAGCCTCAGACTCTCTAGGCTGCAAAGGATGACCTTGGACTTCTGATCCTTCTCATTTTATTTCCCAAGTGCTGGGATCACCGGCAGACGCCACCACGCTCATCAGTTTTATGCAGTGCTGTTGACAAGGGTGTCTGTCACAGAATGTTCCCGAAAAGCCAAGGCTCCCTTACAGCCTCCGAGAGCTGCTAGAAACCTTTGAGGTCTTTTACTTTTGTCTCAGTGTATGGTTAACTATGTCAGACTGTAGGAGTGATTGAGCCGCACAATGGCCTGCCTTCCAAAAACTCCCAAATGTCCTTCCCACCCCAGATAAGTATTAGTCCATTTGAGACAGTGGTGGCATAGACCTAAAACTCCACTGCTAGATTGGCTAGGAGGGTCCCTAATTCAGGGAGTATTCAGTAACACCCAAGGTGCTCTTCGGGCAGCTAGCTTTGAATCTACTTCAATTATAAACCTTAACTCTTTAATTCACTCTCACAACTGAAAGATTAAGAGGAAGAAGAGGAACATCAGGAGCTGGGTGTGCTTGTGTGGCATTCTTGAAGCCAGGGTTCGATCCCCTGGTGGAGCAGTTCTGTGATTCCCAACAATCAGAAGGCAGAGGCAGGCAAAGGGATCCAAAGTTCAAGGTCATCCTCAGCTATGTAGTAAATTAAAGATCAGTTTGGGCACCCAGGACCTTATCTCAAAAAGAAAAAAGGAAAAATTAAAAACATAAAAGGAAAAAGATTCAATGCCTTTGGTTGGGGGTTTTGATTTTTCGAAGCAGGGTTTCTCTGGGTAACATTGGAAACTTGTGGAACTTGCGCTGTAGACCAGGCTGACCTCAAACTCACAGAGACCCACCTGCCTCTGCCTCCTAAGTGCTCAAATTAAAGGATTAACACTCAGTGGTAATCAATGTCTTCTCGTTCATAAAATGTGGTTAACAAACTCACTTCTGCTGGGCTGGGCCTCCTGACTTAACCGTGGAAATGACTGTGTGTCTTTGTTCTCCCTTCCCTATCTACACGCCCTCTTGATTATAGTTCTTTGCCAAGAATGACGAAGAGCCTAAGATTTTGCCTTACTTATAATTTAAACCAGCTGCCATGGTTCCAGGCTGGCAACAAAAGACATGAGACTCTTGTCTTAGTTATTTCTCACAACTGCATTTGACATATATTGGCATTTGTACTTACTTCTAAGCCTTAACTCCCACAATATATTGAAAGGAAGAGCAGATATCACCTACACACACCAGGGACAATGTTACAAGAGAGAAGCCCTGAGCTTAGGGGACTCAAACCTTTCATCATAGATGACAAGCAAGCATGCATGTCACTTCATTCCAGAGAGAGGCATTGCTTCTGTCCTTTGGGGTCCTTTGTCTCACGAATATCCTTAAAGCAGTAGCTGATAACAAAGGTAGTCATAAAAGACTGATTAATAATATGGGTTAATTTAAAAGACATTATAAGTTTAAAGGGCCAGACATGAAGGACCTATATAATTTATGATTATATTTATAAAAAATTCTAGAAAATGAAAAATTATAGTTATTGGGAGCAGTGAACCCCCAGACCCTGAATTTCTTGTAAACTATTTGTTTTCTTCTGCTCTCAGCAGCCTGCACCTGATTTGAGCACGAGACCCTGATGGCAGGTTGATGGGTCTGCAGCTGAAAGAGCCCAAGAGCTGGGGCATGGCCAGAGCACTATATAAACTGCCCCTGAGCACAATAAAAGGGGCATTCTTGGGGCACTCTGGCATCAACGATGACCTGTGTCTCTGTCTGCGAGTCTTTTTGTGTGTTAATTCTCCAGGCCCATGCTCCACTCGCGGATGATCCTGGAGTGCAGGCGGCGCACTACACGCGTAGTACCGTCCTGTCACATAATACGGGCAGTAGGTCGTTACAATAATAACAAGAAATACATTGGTGTTATCTAGGTCTGAAGGAATGGGACTGACTTCCCAGGGTTGCAAGGAAACTTTGGGGAGCAATGATCATTTTTTGTGTTTTAATTGATTGCTGACGTTTATTGGTGTAGATGTATAAAAAGAGGGCGTGCATGCCGGTTTAACTTAAGTGCAGTGTAAGCAGCATTAATTACACTAACAGTGTAGCACAAACACCACTACTCTAAAACTCTTTCATCATCTCAAACAGATGCCATAACTCCCCCTTCTCATGGGTCACCTCTATTGCTTATAAATAACAACTAAGTGCAGGTGATTTTAAAGGTGC